TTTTAAATTCTGATTTTCAAGGAATATGATTTTATGAAACATGATATTTATGTCTATAGATGAGATAAAAAACAACATATCAGAAATTTTTAAGATATTGAGGAGTTTTGGTTTTCAGAACTAATTTTTAATTGAATGATTTGAAAATTCAGCATCTACTAATCGTTTTATAAAGCCAAATTCGATATTCAAGATCAAGTTTTGCTGGACTAAGTATCAAATCTTATTACATTACATATGAAATTTTAATGCATCTTTAATGAGTTTTATTGCTCTTGCATTGTAATGTTCAAAGATATTCCGATAGTAAAATAAATTTTTTATTGCGGAAATATAGTTTCTGGATTATTTCTGAGAGTTCATTATTTAAAGCAAATTGATACGATAATGATACTTTTTAGTTTTACTCTCTTCAATTTTTCTTTTCGGCTTAGAATTATCTGGGGACACAATGCCTGAGGTCATCAGCATGGTATGCACGGAGGTATGCACGGAGAAATCGCTATCGGAAGTTCCGCCGTTTCATATTATACGGCCTAGTGCTCGTGACGTCACAGACCAGTCCGACGGCTTTATATCTAGGAGGCACTGGTCTGAATACATAATGAGGAAACGCAGTATTTAACTGTGAAGTTCTTCGGTCTTAGGGAGAGAGATACCAGCTATTATGTCTGCACACGTTCGCCTTTTTTAGACTACTCTCACATAAGCTATCATCATGCTCGGCCGTACTTTAGGCCCTTGATAGCTTCGCAGTCTATTAACGTTAAAGGGCCAACTCTTAGAATTTTGATTGCCTCTTTAGTTTAGGTTAATTCTTAGTATCTTAAGTTCAAGCCGAACTGTCGGCTTTATTGTACACTCCAAGACAGAATTCTGTTAAAATTTAGTTGGAAAAATAAAGGGTTAGTTTACCTATCTATCTTGATTTTTCCTTTCACACGAAGTCAAGCGATTCTTCACTTCCAACAGTAACTTAGAATTACAAAGTGAGGAATTCTACACGTTGCTGATACGAAATTCCGGGCATGGGAAAATCTCCAAAGAGAGATCGGATGAAGCTACAGAAGGGACCACAAACCAAGCAGGGCGGAGCAAAGCAAGAAGACATCCTGAAAAGTCACCGTAATGTGGTGCCATCTACTGATGATAGATTTAACTAGATCAGTCATGTCAAGGCCAACTTATACTCAAGGCCTGCCAGTGTGAAAATATTTTTTTGTGTTTTCGGTGGCCTCCGTGAAATTTCTACTGACCGCAATATGGCGCTACTTTTCTGCTACAGTTTTCAATGTTAACTATGAGCAGAAATGTACCAGAGACTAATATTGTCTTCTTATATGCAAAATTTAAAAACGATTAATCTGTAATAGTTGGAAATTATACATTTCCTTTTTAATAAAAATATATTTTTTTAGAAAGAAAGCATGTTATTCCATTTTTCCCATATATAAACATCAACTACTTGATTGTGATTTTAATTCCTGTTTGCATCTACATATACTCTATTTTGAATTGTACTTATTAGAGCTATTGATTCTAATTTAAGGGTAATATAGAGCATATGTTTTACTTTTCAATTATTCATATAGTATGAATTTAGCGGGTAGACCATAAACTACTTCAGCACAAAATTTTCACCATATTCTTATCTGCTGTCCTGTGCAACAAAATAATTTACTATTCCTTATTATAAATATGAAATTAATAAATTATGATCTAAAATTTGTATATTATTTCTAATACATGAGAGAAAAGGTATTTCTTAAAGAGATTTAATTTTAAAGATTTTTTTAAATTATTATCAAATAATTTTTTCAGGAAATATTAAAAATAAAATTTTAAATAATGCAGATTTCAGGGTTTGTACGATCCTTAAAAGTCCTTAATTTTGGCTAAAATCAGCAGAAGGTCCTTAATTTTAATCATCTGAAATTTTTGTCTGTTTTTACGACTGCCATTTTGAGTGTGAATTAGAATTTTGCAGGAATATTTTTGGCAATTCACTGACAAATATGGCTATTTTTTGAATGGGTTCATGAGTTATAATTTGTTCCCATTTATAATATAAATAATGGTGGGATACTCGAGTTTCTGAACAAGAAGTGAAACATAAGCATTTCAAAATTATTTTATTTTTTGTAATGAAGAGCTCTCAAACAACTTTTGGGAACATGAATTCTTTTATTAAACAGATCTAAATTTGGCAATTTTAAGATCGATTTCTATAGAAAAATTTTAATTCCAAGATCTGGGAATTTTTGACGACTTTTTTAGAACATTCCAACATTGATAAATTTCATTAAAATAATGGTAATATATTGGAAGTATATTTAAGAAATAACATTAAAATAAACTTTTTTTTTTCATATTATAAAGTTCCATTTTGGCCATATATACAATTTTTTGAACCTGAAAAATAAGCAAGGAATAATGCTATAAAGCACAGTTTACAAAACAGTTTTTAGCAAAAGCAAAATAACTGTGTAATTAATTAAAAATGTCTTTTTAATTTTTTCATGGTAAGAATTTTTCCTATTTCTCAGGAAATGCATCAGTTTTCTCTATAAAATTAATTTCACACTTTTTTCCTCCAATTATTTTTTTAAAACATTTCTGGCTTTTTGCTGTTACAGAATTGGTAGGGGTAATTTTTCTTTAGGATTTTAGACATTGAAGCTTGGAAAGTTTAGAAAGATTTTAAGGCAAATTTATAGACCCACGGTTCTAAAAGATTCCAGAAAAATGTGATAAAATGAAAAATGTCTCCATGGTAGTAACACGCAGTTTCTTACATTTTGGAGAATATGTAGTTGAATGTTTTACTTCTGATTCTAGAATCGCTTTCTTAGCATTTTTAGCTTCCCTTTATTTTCCCTACTTTTCACTAGATACAAGCATGGAAAATATCAAAAGTACTTCTAATCTTATCATATGGACAGGCATTATAGAAAGGAATTTTTTTATTAATAAAGAAATTGAAAACTGACAATTCAAAAGATTCATCTAATAGTATGTCTTAATGCATCATACACAGAACTGGTGCTAGGCATTTTGCCTCCTGCCATAGTCTCTGTGAATCCTAAATTCTGCTTCCAATGCCTGCTCTAAATTCTAAACGTTTTGCCATTTCTAGATTTTGTTGCTCAGTGTGTCCCTAAATTCTAAAAATTATGCCACACCAGCTCTGTGACCAGACTTTACCGTATGTATTTCATATTTCTTCTGAATGTTTGTATTACTAAAGAAATAAAATTAGCAGCTTTTTCCATACATTCTAAATGCATTTAGTCTTTTAGAATAACAGAAGTCTTTAATTAAATTCCAAAAATTTAAAGTGAAAAGGAAATGTGTTGAAAAAGAAACTAAATATGTAAAGAGAAAGAAAATTATTCTTCAAAGATATGTACAGTTATTGTTATGTAAATTACCCAGTTATTTACAGTTTCAGCCTTTACTATAATTTCCCATTTCTAATTCCTCACCATAATGCAAATCACTTAGACATTTTTTAAGCTGAGGTTTTTGAAGTGTAAAACGAGTGTTTTTCTGACCTCCACTTGCTCCCTGCATTAGTTCTGTCAGCTCTGATAATTTGTAATTATTAGTCTTTCCATTACTGCTGCTGACATTTGAGTTTATTATGACAATAGAGTTACTGAAACAGATTAAATTGTATAGTCTTTGAGTAGTATTACATGGATGGACTCTGGATAGAATTTTACTCTCTTTAGTGGCGATGGTGGTTTTACTCTTTTTAGTGGCGATGGTGGTTTTACTCTCTTTAGTGGCGATGGTGGCTATGGAGTCGATGGTGTGTAAGGAAACTTGATGTTGTGGAGTTGTTGTCGTAGCTGAGTTAAAATATGTAATAATTTCAGATTATTATGATTTTGAAATGTTTAGTCATGTCATATATTTTTTTTTCTGCGATTCCTACTTTTATGAAACGAAAGATATGCTTTTTATGATGGGAGAAGTAAAAAAAAAATTAAATATTTTAAAAAACGTATGTAAAATGTTGTATTGTTAGTACATATGAGTTTTGAACGGAAACAAACATCAGGGGGGTGGAGATGTCGAAGGTGTGTTAGGAATCGGAGGATATGTGGATGTGTGTTGGGGAGTTGTTGTCGGAGATGAGTTAAAATATGTAATAATTTTCAGATTATTATGATTTTGAAATGTTTAGTCATGTCATATATATTTTTTTCTGTGATTCCTACTTTTCTGAAACGAAAGATATGCTTTTATGATGTTTTGGTGTATATACATTGTTTTAATTCGGTATCGAGTTGACACGTTTATATATATAATGATGAGACGCTATGTGATAATAATTATTCGCTTCCCTTGGAAAAAGGAAGGAGGAAAAATCCATTTTAGAACTAGAGGGGGAAAAATGAGAACACACGTCCGAACGAATTTAGATTACAGGATTTTTTTTGTTAAAAGGATGACAACTAGATTGGTGTGGTTCTTTATTAAGCCTATATGAGTATAATGACAAAATGATATATGGTATTTTTTTTTTTTACTTTCGGAAAAGAACAGAAAACGTTTTTAAAAGGAGGAAGGAAAAAGATTTAAAAAGAATGAGAAAAAAAAAACTCGAGAGAATTTAGATTACAGGAAAGGAACAGTTCTTAATTTGTGATTGACATATGACATGATTTATTTTACTTATGGAAAAAGAGTAAAAAAAACTTTAAAAATAATAAAAAAGGAGGACGCACGTTTTTTCCTAAAGAAATTAAAGATTGCAGGGGAGCGCACACATTATCAAAACAGATGAGTATTCCGAGGACGGGAACATAAAAAGATATGGAAACGAGGGTTGTTTTTTTCCCCTTCTTCCTTCTTTGAACGTGCCATCGAAGCTGCATAGAGGAAACGCGAATGGAGGTCGCAAAGAGGAAGAGGGGAAACCTCAAGTATGGAAAACGAAAGCAGTTAGTTTTAGCGCGGAGGTCAATCTATTGGGTCGAATGCGAAAAAAAAATGTGGGTCACTGAATAAAGTTTAGCAACTCCTTTTTCTTGGTAATAGAAATAATATTGAGGGGAGAAAAAAGTAAGCATATAAATGTACTGGAGAGGCGATGAGGGAAATTAGGACACGAATAGCGTATTTAAAGAGAAAAATTCGCAACGAAAAACATATTCCTCCACTCGTTTGATTTGCAGTTCCTGACAGAATGGAAAGTTCAGCTTCGACGAGCAATGGTAAGACATTTTTTATTTTATGCTTTGCGCTATGTTTTTCAAAAAAACTATTTTTTTTTTCTGCTCCCTAGAATTTCGTTCATAGTATGTGTAGTTTTAAATTATTTTTTTAGACTGCAAAGTGAAAAGACACATTAACTTGCTTGACGACGAAGATGTGGAATTGAATAATCCCCACCGTAAAAAAGCAAAGAGCTTCGATTTAGATTTAGCAAGCGAAGAGAAAAAAACCCTCTTCCCATCGTACTCAATACATCTTGGTCGTAATCTTGTCATGGAACTCAAGGAGTTCCGTGGATCTCATTACATCGGCTTATCCAGACAGACCTCCAATAACGACATCAAAAATCGGTTTAACATCCCCTTTGAAATGCTGGATACCTTGAAACAGGCCTGCGAGCACATGATCAATCACATTAAACGCAATCGAGTGGTTTAAAAAAAACGCTTGTTTTTTAAATTTAATTGTATTATTTTTTTATTTTTTTTTTTTTCATTTTTCTTTTTTTGAAATCAGTGTGTTATTATGTATAAATGAATGTGTTATATATTTAACATTGACTACATTTTTTTAATTGTGTAGCATTTGTAAAGTACGTTTTGTTTAAAATTATTCAAAAAAATGAATATATCAATTTGAAGTAATTTAAGAAAATCATATGAGGTTGTTTTGTTCAGCACAACCTTTTTTTTTTGTAACAATCCAAAATAATAGTTTCTAAAATCAGTATGCTAAATTTTAATGTGCACAGAAATGCCCGTCGCGGCTTTGTGCGTTCGTATAGAGCTATTTGCAACAATTACAGTGATCCTCATCTACTATATCAGGACAGTCGACAAATAATTTTTTCATTATTAAGTAGTAGTAATATTCTTAGGTTAAGAATACTTATATGCTTAAGCATATTATTTAAGAAAGGCGATGGAGACAAAGAAAAGAAACAGAAAAAAGTTTCTATTTTTGCTCCAAATGTGAACGAATCCTAACACGAGGACAGATATTGATAGCGATTGACAATGCATTTCGAAAAATATTTCTAGGCATTGATAACTTTATTAGAAACGGTAGTGGATGGACAATAAAGCGTCTGACTACTTGAACTACATCGACATTCAAGTAGGCAATTTAAGAGAAATAAGAGGCGGATGTAAACACATAGAATTGCCAGCAAAAATTAGAAACAAAAAAGCGGTTTTAAACATTAATTGTTATGATAATAAATGCTTTTTGTATTCTGTTATCGCAAAACTATATCCAAGGAAACAGAATAAAAACACGTTAAATTATTATAAAAAAATATTTGAGATGTCTTAAAATTAGCGGGATAAAATTTCCGATTTCCTTAAGTGGAATTCAAAAATTTGAAAAGTTAAATGATTTAAAAATTAATGTATTTGCGTTTGAAGAAAATGAAATCTTTCCTTTAAGTATAAGCAAACAAAAAAAATATCGACTTAATGAAAGAAATTGATTTACTTTTTTTTGAAAATCATTTTTTTTAATCACAAACTTAAATAGATTATTAAATGTTCGTAAAGGTATTCATCACTATTGTAAAAACTGTTTGTTAGGGTTTCAGCGAAAATGCAGTTTAGAAACCCACATAAAATTGTGCGAAGGCAAAGAACCTCAGAAAGTAAGCATCCCTCAAAATTTAGTAGTTAAATTCACTGACTTGTCTAAACAATTATATCATCCTTTTGCATTTTTGCGGATTTCGAGTCTCTCACTAGAAAAGTTTCTTCAGCTTTTCCGTCTGAGTTTCAGAGTTTTTCAGTAGCAGTAGAACAAACACCACGAACCTATCAGCTATGCAATTCTTGTCACAAACATTAACGATGAAATAATATTTACGGAATACTACTCCGGAAATAATGTCATTAATAACTTTCTAAAAACTTTGAAATACCTATCACATAAATTGTTACAGAAAATGAAAAGGATTCTACCGATGGTGGAAAGCTCTGAAACTTATGACAGAAACTGTTGTCACATATGTCAAAAGCAATTTTTACCAAACGAGATACGTGTTCGAGATCACTGCCACTGGAGCGATGGACATATACGCGGATTAGCACACCAGACATGCAATCTAAATTATAGATGTACATATTTTATTCCAGTGGTAATACATAATGCGCGTAATTACGATTCCCATTTAATTTTACGAAATATGCCGAAAGATGTTTTCAAATGCATTAATATCACACCAGTAAATTTGGAAAAATTTACTATGTTTACTCTAGACGAAATCAAATTTTTGGATTCTTATCAATTTTTAGACGCTTCGCTAGATACATTAGTTGAGAACTTAAAAAAGTCCGAACACAAGTTCGAGATTTTTAATAGTTTTTTCAAAGATGAAACAAACAGATTTTTACTGCTGAGGAAAGGAGTATTCCCATACAGTTATCTGGATTCAGAAGCGGTTTTAAAGGAAACCTGCTTACCAGATAAAAGTGCTTTTTTTAATATTTTAACAAATAACCATATAACAGATGATGAATATGAACATGCACAACTCGTGTACAAAACATTTCACTGTGAAACAATAGGAGATTATTTAGAGCTTTATCAAAATGTTGATACTGTTCTACTAGCCGAAATATTTTCGGCCTTTCGCCGAATGTCCATGACGTACTATAATTTGGATCCCCTCCATTTCGTGACAGGAGCGGATCTCACATGGAATGCGGGATTGAAATATACAAAAGTAGAATTACAGCTATTCAGCAATGCCAACGATTACATGTGGATAGAATCACAAATGCGTGGGGGGATTTGTTTATTAGGCAAGCGACATGTAGTGGCTAATAATCCGTATACTTCAGATTATGACCCATACAAACCCCATAATTATATTTTAGCACTTGATGCTAACAATTTGTATGGATATGTCATGAGTCAGTCGCTACCATATGGACATTTCACATGGTTGACGACTGACGAAGTACGACATTTCGATATTTTGAACATCGATCCTAATTCAAGCGTTGGATATATTTTAGAGGTAGATCTCCTATATCCACCTGAATTGCATGATATCCACAATGATTTTCCGTTGGCCCCAGAACATTTAACAATAACATACGACATGTTGTCCTCCATATGCGAAAACGGTGTGCAACAAATTAAACATGAAAAGTGTTTTACCCTGCAAAAAATTGACACCAAATTTTTTCGAAAAAGAAAAATTATATATGTCACTATTTAAATTAAAAATTTTATCTTGAAGAATGGCTTATTCTGCAAAAGATACATAAGATTTTGGCTTTTTCCCAATGCAAATGGTTAGAAAGCTATTTAATAACGATAAAAGAACGGCATCCGAAAATGATTTTGAAAAATCTTTCTTTAAAAAAATGAATAATAGTTTTTATGGCAAAACATGTCAAAACGTAAGAAAGCGTGTTAATGTTAAAGCGGCCTTAAATGAAATTCAGAGCAAAAAATACTTGCAAAGTCCCTTACTGGATTATTTTGAAGTGATAAATGAAAATTTATCATTATATAAAATGAAAAAACAAAATTTGTGTTTAGATAAACCAATTTATGTGGGTTTCACTGTGTTAGAATTGTCGAAATTGCATATGTATAATTTATATTATAAGTATTTTAAGAGCGTGTACAATGATAAATGCGAATTGATTTATACTGATACTGACTCATTATATATGAATATTGAAACTCACGATATTTTTAATGACATGAAAAAGTATTTCAATGAAATTTTAGATTGTAGTAATTTCGAAAAACATCATTTAATGTACAGTATAAATAATAAAGGCAAATTAGGGTTTTTGAAAAATGAAAACAATTTACCCATCAAAGAATTTGTGGGGTTAAAGTGCAAAATGTATGCATTCTCTTTCGGAAATACATGTAAAAAAAGTTAAAAGGAATTAAAAAAGCTAGTGTCGCAGATCTGACCACTGAGTCATATAAAAAGATTTTGTATGATGAAACATTAATGAGACAGTATCAATATACAATTACTTCCAAAAAGCATGATATATGCACTGTTCTTCAAAACAAAGTAGGATTGTCGCCATTTTACGACAAGAAGTTCTTAAAAGCAGACGGCATAAATGCCAATTGCTATGGTCATCATAAAAATCTGCTTTTAGAAGATGAATGTATAGAAAACACATTTTAATATGTAATTATTTTTATATAAACAGCAGTCATTTCAAGAAAATTGAAAAAAAACTGTTTCATGTATTTTTTTCCCCCTCTACTTAGAATATAAAAAACAACGAAATGTTGTTCCACGTCGATTATTCGACCCTGAATTTCTTACATCATGTAAAAGAAAGAATCTCACTACGAAAGAACTAATCAATATATTTGCCAATGGATTTTATCCACTCCAGTGAAAAACAGGCTACACACAATATATATATACCCTGTTTTTTTTAATAATTTTTTTTGTATGTATATTTTGGCCCCAAGACGAAATTAACAGAATGCTATGTTTTTTCATGTTATTTACCGGCAACACATGTTATTCATATTCTGCAGGGGGGACTTATTATGTATTTGAAAGGGGAAAAGGAGGTTTGTATAGTTTTGTCACTTTTTTTAATATTATGTTTATGCATGTAAACTAGTTTTTTATTTTGATTTGTCGATTAAAAGTGTAAAAAAAAAAAAAAAAATGGCAAGCCCTTCAAGGGCTTGCATATTCACGATGAAGAGCAATCTGTCGAAATATATATCAGATGCTTTTTAACGTGAGTATGCCAGACAGAGGGAAAAAGATATGGTATGAAACTTATAGTATAAATTTGTATATTTTTAAAAATATCTAGTCTGTGTGATTATAAAATAAGAGTGAGTAAAAAACATGTTTTGTTAAATATACTTTTTTTTATTTATTGCAGAAAAAAAGAGATTACATAGTTTTTTTTTTACATAATAATTGTTTACAAATGAAGTTCCCGAATAACTTCGTCGTCGGGAAGGATGATGAAGTATCCAATCTTCTTTTTAGTGCAAGGAACTGTATCTGGAACATCTTCACCGCCGCGTATATTTTGTTTCCCCATCATCACACAGTCAAATAAATTGTTAAACAAATTTAGTGATGAGTCATGCAATAACATTTTATCGCAGGAGAGTTGTAGTAGTAAATATCCATATTCATTTGCTTTCGAATGAGCATGAATGTGATTCATCACTTCCGAATTGTTCAAAATTTTAAAATAGCATCGTTTTCCAATCATTTCATTTTCAATTGAATTCCTGATACAGCTAGTAATATCTTTAAATAAAACATTATGCACATAATAATATTCTGTGCCATTGGAATCAAACAACAGATATCCGTAACGTTCCATGTTTCGTCGATGAACTAATGTTTGATGGCTTTGCTCATATATATAAGCGCAGTACAACGTTGATTTCCCCAATGAAATGTGTGGTGGCAACATCTATTC